ATTCTTTTATAAGGTGTCTATTTCTTCTTTCAAATCATGAAGTGACTTCCTCATCTCCTGGAGCTTGTTCTCTTTTCCCTTGCATCTCAATTAGTTTGGTCACTACAAAAGTTCTGAATTGCTTATCTTACATGTCCACGACATCCATTGTGTTGTCTGTGGGTGATGTGGAATTGAAAACATCAATTCTCTCCTTGGGGGAGAGACATTTTGTTAGTTGCCCATATTTCTTGTGCCTGTGTGATTGTTTCTAGTCATCTGGTGATTTATACAATTCTTTCTAAATTATTCAAGGTATCTCTGACTGTTTAAATGTGTACAGGAGTAGGAAATTGGTGATCTCTCTTCTTCTCTGTTTTCTTGTTTCTCACCAGTACCCTGTACTATTGTCACTGGTCCTAGGTGACCCAAAGTCCTCCCTGTTTCTAAAGAACAAGTGTGCCTTCAGCAACTGAGCTGTTGAGCTTCACCTCAGGAGCAAAGAATGCTCACTGCAAGATATCTAAAACACTGAAGTCCTGAGATTCCAAAGGTGAGTGGTGGTGGGGTGCAGAATGAGCCATGGGTCCTGGCCATTAGGGCCTGCAGTGACAGGCAGCCTGGTGTCCAGCAAGGCTGCTAGCTTGAACAGGTCTCTAGATGGGGTGCAGAGGGGTGCAGGTTCACCTTAAAGTTCCAGAATATGAACCTGAATTCCAAAGGTGTTTTGGGTGAGAATTACCACAGGTCCTGGCCATTAGGGCCTGCAGCCAGAGGCAGCCTGGACTCTGGCAAGGCCACTAGCTTGAACTGGTCTCCAAGAAAGGATAATTATTAGGTAATTGTTTTTTTTTTTTTTTTTTTTTTTTTTTTTGTGTGTGTGTGTGTGTGTGTGTGTGTGAAACCTTTGTTTTAGTTGTATGTTCACACAATGTAATCTATCTTTTTTTTTTAACATTGATTTACTTATTTATTTATCCATGTATTTCAATTTGACCAGAGAGGGACAGAAAGAGACAGAGAGAGAGAGTGAGTAAGCAAGTCACCAGGTCTGGGACTTGAACTGTAGTCAGCCATATGGGAGTCCAACACCCTTAAACACTCCCTCCACCCCCGCTTTTTTGTAAATCAGAGCAATAGTTGAAAAATATTTAGCCAAAGCTATTTACTAAAAATACTTTTTTTCTTAGCTGAAATTTATACCAGTTGATTAATAATTTCCTTCTCCCTCTTACTACTAACCCCTGGCAACTACGATTTTACTCTTTTATTTTATAGCTTTGATTATTTTAGGTATCTTATATAAGTGGACTCATGCAGTATTTGTCCTGTGACTGACTTATTTTATTTAGTGTCATGTCCTCAAGGTTCATCCACATTATTTCATATGGCAGGAATTCCCTTTGTTTAAAATGTTGAAGAGTAATTCAGCTTTGGAATCATAAAAAATGCAGAGTTTTGAACATCACTTCAGATCTATTGAATTTGAACCACGAACAGGTATCAATTTGGAATCTGCACTGTCCCTACAAAATTCCCATGCATATTAAAATTTGAAAATTACTCTACTCCTAATGCCTAAGGTCATTGCAAGGTAAAACATTATTAAATAGTCCATATTAATAAATTATTTATGGAATCATTTTGGTGCCAGTTATTTGCATGTTAACATTATTCAGAGAACCAATGAAATAATGGCTAAGAATATCAATGCATGACCAATAAAATGATTACTGGACCAATTTCTGATTTGTGTCCCAACATAGTAGGGAAGAATTTAAATTACTTGCTTAAGAACCCAATAGTTTCTGCATGTCTTTGTGTATTTATCTTTAGAGTCACCTTGGGATATGGGCATTATTATCTTCATTTGTGGAAGATGAATTTTAAACTCAGAGAGTGACATGGTATGACAAAGCCACACCACTAGAAAATGGCAGAAATGATGTACTTCCAGATCCCATTCCATGCTGCTTGGCATTAGCCTTTGGTTCTTCTGAAACCATTGGCCACAGGGGTGAGACAGAGACAGAGAGACAGACATAGAGACAGACACTCTCAGTAAGTCCCCACTCTATGGTCCTCCCACAGCCTAAGCCAACCAGGATCATGAGCACTTGTGTCTCATGAACCCAGGAAGGTCTGAGCATGCAAACTTGGGACCCTCCACTGTGAGTCCAGCATTGCAGAGTTGTGTTACCACTCACTTCACCTGGCCCTCGGCCACAGCAATTAATAAGGCTTTAGAAAGAGCTCATGTCACATTGAGCTGCTCCTAAGAGATCTTCCTTACTTCAGGAAAATTATCTTCCTCTGATGCCCATAGAGACCTCTAGGGGCAAACCGATTCCTATATTTGGGGGAGTTATGAAAGATGTTTACATAGCAAGGGATCCAAAAAAACACAGAGGTATTGCAATGACCAACAATGCTGTTGAAGCCAGTTCCTCTGCCACAGTAAGTCAGGGAAAATGGAATGGTTTGGGACTTACTTAGGAAAGCCAGTTTACCTCAGAGAATTTAATTAGGCCACAAATTAGAGAAGCTTTCAGACTCTGTTCAATTCTCCCAAACCAGTTTCCTACAAGGAGTTTGGGTAGAGGAGTCTTTGCCTTGAGGGTTTGCTCACTGCTGCTGGTTTCTGTTACCAACTGGTTGGGAGCCTACAACGTGCTCATGGCAGAACCCATGAGCAGGGAGCTCTGCATAGCTTACTGCCTTTCATTCTCACGTCAATCCTGGGAGGTAGGTATTATGTTCTCAAAAGTCAAAGAATTTGCCTAGGAAGTGAAGAGATGAGATTTGAACCTAAGACTGTATGCTGTGAGCCTGTGCTCTTTCTTCTGCATAGACTCCTACCTACCCACTGATGGAACTCACCCATTCACCACACCACTATCAATGCTTCTTCGAAGGCTAAGTCAGGATATGGTGCCTGGGGGTACTTGGAGATTCCAGGGGTTGTAAAGGGCCATTCTTTCAAGCTACCACTTGACAGAAAAATACTGGGTCCCCCACTGCCCACTTCTTTAATATATCTGACTAGGAGGCAGGCCATAGAACATCCCTCTTCATTTTCCCCAGTGGCCTCCTAAGGATCGTAGATAAATAGATACCTGAAGACTGGGACAAATCTTAACCAAGAACCAGAAATCCAGTTGTAATCTTGTTTACTTATAAAGAGATCATAGGACATTTTCTTGATTCTTCTGTGTGCCTGTTTCCTCATCTATAAAAGGAAGACAGAATTATCTGTCTTCATCATAGTACTATTGTGAGATAATAGGGTTGAACATTTCTGTACATGTTAAGCACTTCAGACATGATTTGAAGAACTGAGGTAGTCGGATAAAGTGGCTAGGTGATTTCACAGAGCTGGGCAAAATGACAGAAATCTCACACATCACCATTATTCATGTTACCACCACAGCCATTCCACTACTTTTACCATCCTACCATAACCAACGATAACTCACCACCACCACTTTCCTCACAGTCAGTCAACATTGCCCACACCACCATCAGCACCCTCGATCTCCTACACAAGCAGGCCAGTTTAAGGT